ATTGATCGGGAATGGATCGTGTAGAGAACGAGTTTGGTCGGAATACAAATATTTTATCGATCAGTACTCGATCATCTCGACCTTTGCTCGACTAATAACCGATCATTTCCCGATCAACGCCAACCTGTTTGAACTGTGGTCCAGATTAAGTAGACCAATGCCTGATCACTGCGACTTTTATATTCTTTTTATCCCAGAGCAACTCGACCAATATCCGATCTCTACGCGACCACATTCGACCACTTTTTTATCTCTACTCGGCCATACACGAGTACACTTGACGGCTACACGATTCTCTAAAAGTGTGTGCAGATCTGATCTCATAACTTTGCTTCCTCAAAAAAATATATAGTTACTTTTTTTTTGTTAACTGTACAAAAATTCCCCCATGTACAGTACATGTGTGTACTTCTGCAAGGAGGGGTAACATTTTAAAAATATACTCAAAGGTCGAAAACAAACCGAACATCCATGGCAAAAAAAAAAGAAAACCGACGAGAAGACAAACAGCAATCCACGTAACACAACATAGAAAACTAAAAACTTAGCAACGAAACCCAACAACCTGGGATGATCTCAGGTGTTCCGGAAGGGAAGTAGATCCTGCATTTTGGCCCCGGAGGATTTTTCAAATATGAAAGTAATTGTGCAATCAAATTCATTATTAGACAGCTGATGACTAATTTAGCCTTCAAAGTCGGTTAATAAGAACATCAAGATTATTTTTCAACTGTTTTATGGACTATTTTCTGTTTGACTGTCCGTAATTTTTGTAGTATAAAAATAAGAAGATGTTGTATAATTGCAAATTAGACAACCAAATGACACAGAAATTAACAACTATAGGTCGCCTTACGGTCAAATGTTTACCAACACTTTTTTTTCACACGAATTTATTGACGCAATTTTACGCAAAAATAAGACGAAAGACAAATGATTTTTATTTGATCTCTTGATAGATATATGTAAACAGTTTCAGAAAAGGTATCACTCCAGGGGATTGAAATTCTACTTTTGGTCAAATTTTGGGGAAATGAGTGACATCTTCACCCCCTTTTTGCAATATTTTTTAGCAAATACATCAGTGCAGATTGTTGCCATGGATACACCAAAAAGAAATATCTTTAACCATTCAACTACTGTATATCAAATCTATGGAAAATACTGATTACATGCATATGCACATATATGACACAAACAGTACGCTTAATTTGTAAGAAAGCAAATAAAATTTATGTATACTGCTATCTAACATAAGTACTAATCCAGTGACAAATCTCATTTTGTTGTGTCAATATCAAGAAAAGAGCAGTAAAACTCCCATAACATAATAGCGTCCACTCTGAGAAAGTTTGTATAACCATTGGGGTCCACTTTGTTGAGCTCCTGCAAGTCTCTCATACTGCCCACACAGTGGTCGCCGTGTCAGCCAATGCCTCACCTACGTATATTTCTCGTCGCCTGTTGCTGTCTACGCCTTCTTGTTCGTCTTCTACGCTCTCTTCAAGTTCCACAGCTATTAACCTGTCTCACTAAGCTCTCAAAAACCTTGCCCGCAAATCCAACTGCTTTATTTCCATGTAGATATTTTAAATGTATGATTTTACTCAGACATTCTGTGAACTACTGAATCTATCCAAATAAACGGAGAATGTTTCCATGGGACACAAATAATGCCCCAGCTTGCACTAACGTTATAAAGGGTCATTACTCAAGAACGGTAAAGGTGACGCCACCCAAATTCGCACTTGATCTGTGTTTTATTTATAAGCATTGCGTATACGTTTAATAAAATTTGGTTGAGGTAAAATAAAATTAGAGAACGGAAACTAGTTGTTGGGACGTACGTTCGTACTTAGTGACAGACAAGGATAACACTTAATGCCCCCTTCGCTGCGGTGGGATATAAAATAAATATAGACGTTTTTGTACTGAACTTTTACATACCCAACCAATTCCCGACTATCCCTACGACCCCTATACGATCAGGTCGATCTGGTCTGATCGAGATCAGGCTGAAATCCAGTATAGTTGATTTGGTCTATCTAGTCGAGTAAAGATCGTGTAGGGATCGTGAATTGGTCGGAAATATCGAATATGTATTCAGATAGTTAAAGTCGTGCACAGTCGGATATCAGTCGGGTAGAAGTCGTAAACAAGCCCGATCAAGAATTTGGTTACGCTTAGTCGTGGAAATTTAGACAATCGGGATCATCGAGTAGATCTGATCGGCAGTGTGAACCTAGCTTTAAGTACATGTCCAGAATGGGTTAAGACTATGGTCAAGATAAAGGTCAAGATAAAGGTCGAGTACACGTACAGACTGTTTGGTATGGTTCAGACTACAGTCGGATAATATCGAGTAAAATTCAGACCAATTCAGAATGGTTGAGTAAAAATCAGTCAAGTCGAGTACCAAACGTGCCCATTTCAGATTTTTACTGGTTTGAAGTGTTTTCTGGAGGGGGACAAACCGTTGCCTTTATTTTGTCGGTCAGAATACGCAATTTCATCTATTTTCGACCTTTGGTTTTTTCAGTCGTTACCGTGCCACCATACCCTCCCCCTTCCCCCTGTTAGTCAGTAAAAGGAGGTGTGTGAAATAAGAAATAAAAGCGATAACATTAAAGCTATTTGTGAGAAAGCTAAAACTTGTTAATTTTAAGAATTTATTAATTTCACAGAATACTAAAGGATTTTGAAGGGTTTAATTGGCAGACTTAATAATTGCAAACACAACAGGATCTATTCTTACATGTTAAAACCTAGTATGAATATTTGTGACGACAAAAGCATTCATATGGTTGGGAAAACTTAGTTTTAAAAAGTGGACAAACAATTAATTTGTTAATAAACGCAAAAACGTGTCTGCATGTAAGAGCTTATATGATAATGCGGGAACAACATGAGCAATTTACACGTTATCAATTTTAGTTTGAGCCACACGGTTACTAAAAAAATCCAGCAAATGCGTTCCTTGAGAATTATACATGTAAATTAACTATGGTCATGGTATATACATCTTTCGATTTTGGAAATCTGTTGTAAACTATACCGCTATTGATTTTAACTTCCAATTCACATCAGAGAAGAATAACTGCACCTGAACCAAATCCGAAAATGAGATTCGATGTCATGGTAAACAATGAAGCATTATCAGAAAGATATAAATTATATCGATATATTTAAAACGGTGATATGAAGCCCCGATTTTGTGTCCGTGGATGTATTAAAAACTATATTTCAAACAACATCGTCACATACAGTACATTGTTAATGTATATAGCAGAAACAATAAGTTATGTATCATTTAAATAGTTAACCATCTCATTTGTTTTTTGGATTTCTTGTTTGTACCGCGAAAACCGGAAGTCCTGAACTCGATCTAAAAATCCTGTCAACAAAAAATAAACCACTTTTCTAATTTACTGCTTCTCCAGTTTAAAATGAAATACGGATGACACACGTTCATCATTTGTTTTATTTTCGTAGGAGTCTGAAGATTACCAAGGCTACAAATCGTCAATTGATGAAACACACACATACTATAACCAAATGAAATGCACGAAATGAAAAGGAAATCATAAGAAATGACATGGTTTTTCAACAACCAATCGGCATTCCCATGGGATCCAAATGTGATCCTCTTCTTGCAGACTTGTTCCTCTATTCATATGAGGCTGACTTCATACAGAAGCTTCTTGGGAAGAAAGAAAAGGAGTTAGCATTATCCTTTTACTTTACTTTCCGCTATAATAAAATGATGTCCTCTCACTAAACAATTAAAAATTTGGTGACTATGTTAAACACATCTATCCAATTCAACTAAAGATCAAGGATACAACAGATATAGTTAAGTCTGCCTCATATCTTGACTTCAATCTAGAAATTCACATTAGGGTCGATTGAAAACAAAACTATACGACAAAAGAGTTGATTACAGCTTCCCAATTGTGAACTTTCGATTTCTATGTAGCAACATTCCAGCAGCGCCTGCATTTGGAGTATATATCCCAGTTGGTACGATATTCCAGGACTTGCATTTCCTATCATGATTTCCTTGATAGAAAGTTGCTGCTCACAAGAAAGCTATTAAACCATGAATTCCAAGTGGTGAAGTTGGCATCATCCCTTTGTAAATTTTACGGACGCCATCACGAGTTGGTTGACCGTTATGGAATATCTGTTCCACAGACGACAACGGATATGTTCCAATTGTCGTAACCACAACCCCGTCCTCTTTTCCCCGAATGTGACATACCGAATAAGACTTATCACCAAGTGTGTACTTACAAGAGCAACACAACGGGTGTCAACTGTGGAACAGGATCTGCTTACACATTCGGAGCACCTGAGATCACCCCAGGTTTTTGTTGTCAGTCTTTAGTTTTCTATGTTGTTTTCTGTGTACTGTTGTTTGTCTTTTTGTCTTTTTTTACATGGCGTCGCCAGTTTATTTTAGACGTATTAGTTAGAATGTCCCTTTGGTATCTTTCGCAAGAGACATGGAAATGTCACACAGCGTCTGTGTATGAGCGATTAAGAAACCATCCGTCAAACAATGCAGATACGAAAATTAATCAGATATGCAACTAGTACTTTGGAAAGGATGTTCGGTGATAATCCAAGTTGGAGAGTGATGCGCCCTCGAATTTCCGAATAAACATCGAGCAAGTTTAGTTAAGAATATACTTTATAGCGGCCTTTGTTGAGGCTTAATTGTTTACCCAATAACTACTTCTGTATTACTAATGACCTTTTCCTAATTCATCTAAAAACTAAATTTCATGTTGGGGATGCAAAATTTACCTATGTTTATAATTAAATATATTTTAGAAAATTATATATTTCTGTAGCTTATAGATGAAAAAAAACTTAGTGCTTTTATTTCTATAACAGGTATAGACAATAGTCAAACATACGTTTCTGAACTGACTGGTAGAGTTGAATACCATCATAGAACATACGTTAAACGAAATGTATGATTACACTAAGATCACTTGTTTCCTGACACATGCCTGGTTTATGAATAACTTGTATTTTAGTTTCTATGTACATTTCTAAACATTCCAAAGGACATTTCTAACAAATTCTACAAGGAATTGTCCGGTTATTATAATTCTTTTTATCAAATAAGACTGCAAACGAATGTGTATATGATATCCTCAATCTCCTTTTAGTCATTATTACTTGAAGGTGTAAAGGAAAGCATTGTTTCGTTTATTTGCAACAAGTAGTGTCCCGTTCTGTTGACTAACAAAAATTGATGATGGTTCATTGAGACCTTCTTCTTTCGTTAGAATTTGTTTACCGTCGTTTGATATAATGACTACATTCGACGATTTTTCTCCAACAACATACACGTTACCATCATTAACTACAGTGATGCCTCTTGGGTATTTTAGAATAAAGTCATCTCTGAAAGTCCAAAAGTGGGATCCTTTACGACCACAACAATATACACTGTGAACAGTATAGTCGGTGTAGTAAATCCTGTCGGAGGAAACATGTATGTAAGAATACCACGGTAAGCAACATCTTATAACGCAACATTTATCGTAATTAATAGTATCAAGTTCGTAAATACCAAATTTTTCAACACAGACAAACAGCGAGCCTTGAGCACAGTTGATTCCAAATGGACGACCAAGAAGTGTTATGAACTTTATTTCACTTCGAGTCTCTACGTCTATCAATGCAATACCGGAGTGCATTTTTGACTCCCCAGATGTTATAGCGACAGTATTTTCATTGACAAATGTAAAGTCAAACGCATCAAAATTTGTTGACATCTTATATTTCAAAGTACCATCTGCTGCAATATTCAGCAATTTTACTGATTCATAGTCAGTAAAGAAAAGGTTGCCATTTATTGACATGCTACAGCCTCTTATTTCCCTTCCGCCAGTTGTAATCTCCTTTTGTAGAATCAATTGTATACGGTTGCTGGTCTTTGCCACCCGTGTTCCTTGCGTTGGCATTTTATTGATATTTGTAGTCAACGTCATATCTAAAAAATGAATTCAAAGATTTCAATTAAAGTGAATTTTGTATTACTTTCTCTTAAATAAGAACGTCCCAGTTTGTTTGATTACTACTGTAACTTTGGTTTGTTTGGTGTATGTGTATTAATGCTTTCTGTTCTTTTCTTGGCCATTTTGTGCTCGTTTTTAATCTGTAAGGGGAGACTATGGTTTTTAATACACTTCTGACAATATCATAGAAATATATCTACATTGATTATATATAATTGTATGTATGTTAACTTGCTTTACGATTGATTAGGCATTAATGTAATTTCTCACTACTTTGAATACTATATTTACAAATATTGATGTGTAGGCTCTTTATCAAATCCGAAATTTTGTTCTAAAACTTTCTTTATTTTTTTATGACATAGGTAAAAGACAGGCAAAAGGTACCAAAGGGACATTCCAACTCATAAGTCTATAATAAACTGACAACGCCATTGCAAAAAAAAGAAAAAGAAAAAGACCAAACAACAGTAGACAAAACACAACATAGAAAACTAAAGACTGAGCAACACGAAGCCCACCAAAATCGGGATGATCTCAGGTGCTCCGATCAGATCTCAGGGTAAGCAGATCCTGCTCCACATGTGGCACCCGTAGTATTGGACATGTAAGTATAAACCAAGTCTTATTTGGTAGTTAACATTCTTTGAAAAGGAGGACTGGATAATGGTTACGACGATTGGTAACTAATTACATATATATGTAGTTTGAAGAAACGAAGATATTTCAATTCATTCAGACCTTTGATATATAAAAAAATAAAACATTAAAGAAAAAACATTTTAAACTTTCAATAGTTTGTTATAAAGTTGAAATTTAGAAGATTAAGAAAAACAAATATTTGGATAGCTCAAAACGAAAGCTACCCATCAAAACATGTATTAAAAATACATATACATGAAAAGTTTAAAATAAACGAATGTATTTCATAGAGTGCTGATAGCATCATTTTTCTAGTTTCTTTTTCAGGAAAATATTTCATTAACCATTTCAACATCTAATTTTACTTGATGAATTTCATAAAGGAATGCAACCAGATGTTGAGGTACATCCAATGTCATTGAAACTGAAACGTCTGCCACTAATTCCTAAACATGTAAAACTTGGGCATTTTTGGTCTTAAGGACTCCTCCCTATTAACTTATTGAAAACCTGGAAATGTAATAATATTGGTTTAAATAGTACCTTCAATAGCATCATTCTTTCCTTTCCTTTCCTCGTCATCTTCCGATACAAGTGATGTTTGATCTGGGGATTGAAAAATGAAAGTTATACGACTTGTTTTAGTACAGGTGAGATTTAAATAAACAATTCTAGTTCGAACGGATTTTAGAAATAGGAATGTTTCATGTTAACGTGATATCATTTGAAGATTTTGCGTTACAAACAATTTCGGAAAAAAAACTATGTTCCTTATTCCACACGTGGTCCAGTATCTGCTTCCCCTTCCTGAGCACCTGTGATCATCCCCGGTTTTATAATTGTACAAAAACAAATGCTATATTTCAAAATCTATTTTGAAAGAGTTTTAGTAAGGAGTTCTACAATTAAATGTATGTCAACGGGCTTAGGATAATTAGTTTATGTAGAAAATTGATATTTTCAATGTGTATAAAAGAGTATCTGAAAGGTCAAAATATGGTCCATATTTCGTGCTTGAATTTCAAATTATTTAAAAAGCCATTGCATTGTACTTAAAACAATGGATATATGTTAAAATAATACCTTTAACACATTCAATAACTTCTTCCAGCTCTTTAATGTAACCATCATCTTTATATACCAGCGAGTGGTGTCCCCCAGAAACATCTAAACGTTAAAAAGTATAAATTTATAACCAAATATTAAGATTATGTTTCTAAATCAAACTGATTGTATATCTAAAAACATGATAACTTCGTGTTATGTCAACGTACAATAACAATGTTTTTTTTTAAATATCCTACTCGTAGGAATTAGAAAACCTTGGTATTTAATTTTTCTCGAAATAAAATCCTCGTTATGAGTACATGAATGGGAATTAGTGCTGTTCTGAAATTATATACAACAAATAATTTAAATGGTACCTCCAACACCATCAATTATTCCATCCGGATCTTGCTCATCGTTAGATATCGGAAATTGCTGTTCTATAGACATAAAAAATAAATATCAATTAATAAAAATGATAACAATGAAAAAAACTATATTATTTAAAGTAAGAACTAAGATACAAAATAATGACTTTTTAACGTATTCTTTGTTGTTATTGGTCATTCTAATGCTGCAAATTGAAAACATGAGAATTGATGAATTTCGTGGTTACATGTACTACTCATTTTATTCTTTGCAAATTATCGTCCAGGTAAAAAAGGTTTGACATCAATGTTATTTTCTAATTCAATTCAATATACAATTGAACGAATATGATTGACATGCACGAATAAACTGATCATCGATACCAGGCTTAAATTGTTTTTACTAAAAGACAAAAGTAAACTGAAATACGAAGTTGAAGAGCATTTAGGACCACAAATTCCAAGAGGCTTTGCCAAAAGACCAATATATAAAGAAACAAACCATCAAACTATATTGCGAACTAAATTTGCTTGTCAAGAACATTTGAAATAGAGAAACATTTTAACAACCGAGGGTTCAATCATTTACATTTCGCACCATAAACGTCCTTATACAAATATTTTTGTTTTTAAAGTTTAAATGTTACATGTTTTATCAATGAATTCATTTAATTTGTGTAAGATGTAAATGTTTCTCGTCGGAACTATATGCGCTACAAAGATTTAACAAATTAGGGACCTCTTCAACTAGATACTTGAGTATCTACTATATCTTATTAGCGATGTCGAAATGAATGTCATTTAGGAATGACACACACCAGCATAATTTCAATGGTACCTTCAATAATTTCTTTCTGTTTTTCCGCATCTTTAGAAACCAGTGATGCTTGTTCTACAACTGTTTCTGAACGGAATAAAGTTAAAATCCGTTTATAATTATAATGAAATGTTGTTATGAATATTTAAAAATCAACATATTTCATTTGTCATTTCGGGGCCTTTTATAGCTGACTATGCGGTATGGGTTTTACTCGTTGTTGAAGGCCGTACGGTGACCTATAGTTGTTAATTTTTGTATCATTTGGTCTCTTGTGGAGAGTTGTCTCATTGGCAATCATACCACATCTTCTTATTTTTATAAGTACTTAAACATATACAATATCAAAATTTTTGTGTTGATAAAGAAATTAACAATAAACATTTGAGTGAAACATACGGCATATGTATGAAATATAATGATATCTCATGCAGTAGAGAGCCGTTTATTTAACAAAATAAATGACAATCTAAATGTCCAATCAAAAACTGTTCATTGTTTTCAAAAAAGAATACGACTTTTTGAAGGATGAATTGTTTACATCATCTGCAGTACACTGTCCTCGTTTACAAATCAGCGTTATCAAATACTGGATATTTATTTTTTTTCATTGTGTAAATGGACGAATAAAATTGTCACCTAGAAAAGTATACACAAATACAAAAAATACAGATCATTATTTGAAATTAAGGTAGCTATTTTTTGTGTACTGAAAACAATAATAAAATCTGTTTTGCAATAGACGATTCTATTATTTGCCAAAACAAAGCAAATGTTATGTGCATGAACATGACGTTGTATCCCTCATATATATATAGACAGAGAATAAAGATTCAATTGAAGCTTTAGCATAGTCTTTATTTCATTTATAAACAAGACTGGTAGAAATTTACTCATTCTCTACTTTACGATTTTCCCACCAAATCCAAACGATTCACTATAAATGGATTTTAATTCAATTCCATATACAATTGAACGAAAATGACGATTATTCTGGAAAAGGCTAATAGATAACGCATACAAGTCATCAGACTTATTAGAGAGAACTTTATCTCAATAAATGAAAAAAAGAGATATATGGACAACAGATGATAAAATTATTTACATGCCGACAGATAACGACAAGGACAATAATATATTCCAATACACATTGCAGATATTCAAACTGATGTTACCTAGTTAGTTAGTGTTATCTTGTAAATAACCTTGCGTTCTAGACAATTTCATACAAATAAATTTCAACTTATTATATACACAAACTATGTAACTGAGGGTACGTATGTCTTTGTCGTACTTTCATTGAAATGTTTATCATAATGAGCAAACTGAAAATAAATATTGCGGAATGATACACAATAGAAAAGTTTAGATAGTATTTATAACTCCATCAATTTTCTTTTCTCGTTATTGGTCATCGATAAACTCAAAAAGTAATTGTGCTTCAGGTGCTACTGAACATAAGAAAGTGAAAGTCAGTTAATGATAATTTAAAGCATCCATATATACTATTTACAAAACAAATTACAAAAAAAGGTATAGGTACATGAAGATTCTACATGATCCCAAATGTTTTGTTTTGAGTTCTTGTCTATCAAGAGGTTATCTAAATCTCATTTATGCAAGATTGAGCTACTATATTCAAAAACTGAAAATGGACAATCCTAATCAAGATAGCGACAATTGATAAAAGATCGATATTTTTCAGATAAAGAAAAAACCAATAGAAAAAAAGAGTAGTTTTTTTTTTACATAAATTTATTTTTTAAACTACACCTGTAGTTCATATACCTATACCAAAATTCTTGTATACAGAGGTTTTCAACCCCAAGAGGATATAAGGGACAACTATCCGCTGTAATCTAAAATCCAAACACCATGATTTCACTTATTATCGTTCCACTTATTATGTTATTACTGGAGACATTGGTATCGTAAACAATGAAGTACTTCGAATAATTAGAATAATGACAATTTTAAACTTCAGGTTGTAATTTATATCTGTATACTAAATGACCAAAACAAGGCTAAATTTGATGGGGATCATAATAGATGGTTAACATCTGTCAAGAGTACATAACTGGGTGTACTGTACCTTCAACGCCATCAATAATTCCTTCCAACTCTTTATCATCTTTATGTACCAGTGTGTGTTGTTCTACAGAAGCGTCTGTTGGTAAAAAAGTAAACCTCTATTCGTTCTGTTGATTGATACAGTCTAACGTTTGATTCTGTCAGTGTTTTATGGACTTATCCTTTTCGAGTTTACTTTAAGTTCGATATTTTTTTTTAATACTTTTCGATAACAATGATTTGTTTGTACTCACATTACACACTTACAGAATCCCACATGTTTAATGTTTGAACGAATACACATAGCTTGCTATATGGTATTGGTTTGATCATTATGAAAGGCCTTTACGGTAACCGATACTTTCCTATATCTACTTCGTTTTTTTCTGGGTGAAAGTTGTCTGATTTAATCCACCACTAAAATCGGAAAGAATTCGTTTTCCTTTATATTTAGAAGCAGGAGCCAGTTATTCGGTGTGTTTGATGTCAGCTATATATGATTTTCCGTTATTATGTTAGCTTCACACATGTCGTTGTGTTCCCTTTTACATTGTTTCACATTTTGTTATGCCAGGGCTCTTGATAGCTCACTATACGGTATCGATTATGCTGATTGATGAAGTCCGTACGATAACGTCAACTGCTTACTTTTACTGCTTTGATCTGTCCTGGAAGTTTGACAATCATACCACATCTTAATTTGATAAAAATGTGAAGTTAAAATCATTTTTTTTTTCATTCTCATAAATTCGGGTTGAGAGGAGATGAACGAAAATTAATATTGATGTTTTGTAATGATATTCTTTACAAAAAAATTAAAACGGTACCTTCAACGCCATCAATAATTCCATCGTGTTCTTGGTCATTGTTAGATATCAATGACTGTTGCTCTATAAATACATCTGAATATAAATAAAGAAATAAACGGCAGCTTATAAGAATGATAACAATAAACAAACAAAAAACAAACAAACGGTATATCATGTACAGTAAGAACAAAGATGCAAGTGAATATTTAACATATTTTTTTAGTATAAGTCATTATTATACTGCAAATAGAAAAATGAGAATTAACATATGTAGTGGTTGCATGTACAACTCATTCTTCACTTTGTCAATTCTCGTCTAACTCAAAACACTTTAAAACAAATGTTGTTTTTTCTAGTTGAAATCAATATAAAATCGAATGAAAATGATATTCATACAAGAAAAAAACTTTACATAAAATAAACAAACAATCAAACTCGTACTTACTTTGCTTGTCAAGAACATATGAAAATAGAGAACTATTTTGACAGTCGAGGGTTCAAATATTTACATGCCACAGCATAAAAGCTCCTTTACAATTATGCTCAAAATTAAATGTTTTTGAAAAAATATGTTGTTTTTTTCTCAGAAGTTTTAGTGCAAACTGATTTTACTTATAAAATCTTTTAATTTGTGTTACATGTACATGTATCTCATCAGAAGTATGTGCATTGCAGGTATTTCATATATAAAGGAACTCTTCAACTAGATACTTCAGTTGCGAATTTAAGCTTGTTCTGATTTATCTTATAATAGACGTCGAAATAAATGTTATTAAAGAATGACACACAATAGAATAATTAAAATGGTACCGTCAATAATTCCTTTCTGTTCTACTGCATCCTTAAAATCCTCTGATGTTTGTTCTAAAAATGTTTCTGAACGGTGGAAAGTAAAAATCAGTCCATAATATTGATATGCATTGCTTAATTATTGAAAATCAAAACACATATTGAGTACTTCGACTTATACAATATCAAAATATTTTGAAATAAAAATAATAAAAAACATTTGAGTGAAGCCTCAGCATATTTTTGTTAATTTTCATTATGCAACTTTATGATTTCTTGTGCTGTAGAGAACATGTTATTTTACAAAGTTAATATCAATTTAAAACACACATTTAGAAAAGCATAAACTGTTGACCTACAAGAGATTATATAACAAAAGAGAATACGAGTATTTGAAGGATTAAGTGTTTACATTGTCCTCGTTTACAAATCTACGTTGTCAAGTTACTGGTTATTTAGTGCTACTCATTATGTAATCAGATGAATATGATTGATTTCCTATAAAAGTATTCACAAAAGATGAAAAACAATACAGATCATTAATTTAAATGAAGATTTTTTGCTTATTGAAACTAATAGAAAAATCTTTTTGGCAACATACGATTTTATTATTTGCATTGAAAACAAATTCAGATGTTAATTAGTGTTCTCGTTTTAACGATCCACATTACTAATAATTAATTAATGAATCAGCTACAAAAACTGCAATTTCCATTTTTTTGAGTGACAGTCGTTTTCATAACCACGATTTTTTAACTGTATGTGATATTTATAGTCCTACTTTTATTTTTCTTATCAAATGTATATGACTTTATTGGCATGATCTATTATAGAATCATTTCAATGAAATATATATATGACGGGGGGAAAAGTTTTCACTTCTTTACTCGTACTATGAACAACTAATTTATTTTGTAAAAAATGTTTCAGTACTCCTAACAACACGATTCTTATATTCATATTTACCTGTGTACGTTACTTTATTTAACGCCATTTTGTCCTAGGTTAAAGTTGTCTTTTTGACATTGAAATATCTTTGTTATTTATATTGTGTCATAGATCAAACTTATGTGTTCAGTGTATATATACTTGTTTTTGTGTATTGTCCTTTTGATTGAGTTAAGCCAATTTAATTGATATTTTATTGTGTGTCTTTTTATGTTGTAGTGTTATACCACTGTTTCAGGTTAGGGTGAAGGTTGGCGCCTGTTAAAACGTTTAAACCCGCTTCATTTTTATGACATAATAATGCAACTGTCCTAAGTCAGGAGCCTGTTGTTTAGTGGTTGTCGTTTGTTGGTGTGGTTCATATGTGTTTCTCGTTTCTCGTTTTTATATAGATTAGACCGTTGGTTTTCCTGTTTGAATTGTTTTACACTAGTCTTTATTGGGCCCTTTATAGCTTGCTGTTCGGTGTGAGCCAAGGCTCCGTGTTAAAGGCCGTACTTTGCCATATAAATGTTTACTTTTTACACATTGTGACTTGAATGGATAGTTGTCTCATTGGCACTCATACCACATCTTCTTCTTTATATATAAATGCAATCGTTTTCATTTCTTCTGTAGCAAAATTTAAACTTAAAAAAGTGAAAGCCAGGCAATGCAATAATAATAATTAAGAAATATATAATAATAAAAAGAAAACAGATAACAACATGTATATGAAACTGGCACATTATCCAAACAAACATTCAAGCAAAGCTTACGTCATATTTATTTTATTGTTTTTATGTTGGAAACTGTTAGGAAAACCTAATGTAGTATTGATCTAGTTATATCCAATTTCAAAAGAACAGCTAAAGTTGCATAATATAATAGTCCAAGCATTATCATTGTTAGTATTACCATTCTGCCCTTGGTCATCTTTAAATAAAGATTCATCTGAATGGCCCCCGAAAAAAAAAATACAAACAAAAATATACCATATAAAATACGATCTTAATTTATTCAGATTTACACAAAACGTTTGAATTTTTTATTTCCAATGCTCTCCATTTAGTCTCCAATTGTTTTGATTCGAATGTCACAGATGATTCTTTATTAGACGAAACACATGGCTGACATGCAAAATTATAAGCACAATGATATCTTTTTTTTTCAGAATGCAATAAATATTTAAGAACAGATGATTTATGGAGGTAAATGGGACTTTCTTTATTATTGTAAAAATCGATACATTCCTGAGACATTTTTCAAGTAACAGATAGATAGATCAAGTATTCACCACCGGTTGTTATCTGATCAGAACAATCGACACTGAAAATCTGCACTAGGGTATGTCATTCTTTATATGTTTCAAGTGCAGAATTGTCTATTGGCATATGAATGTCACACATCCTTAATCAGGTTCGCTTCCCAGGGCCAAGAATATCTCTTAATTTGAACAAGAATTCGCATTTATTATTTTTTTTGCGTAATTCTAATATGGGAAAAAAATGATATCTGTACATTTTTATATTTGTTTTTCTAAGAGATTCCTTGTTGTTTATAAATACTATGATTTCTTTTAATTTTGGTATAGAAAAAAAAACATTCAAACTTACCGTCAGACATGTCGTATAGCTTTACAAAAGAAGTTACAAGATACTATTCCCCCTCGTTCAAAAATTGCTTCTGATACCATGAAGGTGAAACCCAACCTATTACATATCATTAAGTATAATGTATACCTTGAAACTTATTTGCAAGGGTAGATTTTGTTCCAAAAGGTGTCGAATATCATGAAGATGAAACCTAATGTACTGCATATCATTACACGGACTATTCATTAAACATGACATTTTATTGTTTGAAAGGATAAAACCTGAAACACTGCAAATATCATCTTCTTTTTTTTTTTGCTAAAAAAAACACAACATAAAACACAGGGCAAAACTGTTTCCTTTTAGATACCCCAACATTTTTGTAACCAATTCCAAGAATATTATATGTTTGGTTTTCAGAGTAAACAGGGTATAAAAACATATTCATTTCCATGTATTTCTTTGCTTGGTTTCTTATAAAAACAAGCTATGGGTAAATATAAAATTGTCACAATGTAAGGGTATCCTAAAGGACTTCAAACTATAATATTAAAATAAAACAATAAACGTTCATGTATATTCACATGCACCTGAAACATACAATAGAATACTGCATGCATAAAATTTCGATCCTTAATCCACATGATAGGATTTTGTTTACTTATGTCCGTAGCCGTAATAAACACAAATTAAGCCCACAATTTAAAAGACATTTTGATTTTGTAAATATTGCAATTCGTAATCAAATATCTACTACCAAAACTATTTATATGAAAAAGGTAACAAAGTGGAACAGTAGATTTCGTAATAATATAATTTTTAAATCGATTACACTTATAACACATGTTAAGGTAGGTAAACTCACCAGGTACTGTATGTACACTTCTAAATTTGTATTCTTTTCCAACGGGATGTATAAAGACACACCCACGTTCGTTTTGATCTATAAAGAGGTTAAACTCCTAACTATCCTACTGTCTGTCGATACATTTATTTTTGGCATTGCACTAGTCATGTCTTCTTTGACTGTCCATGACGTTAAAATACTAAATCCCTGGGATGTGTTTTAGTTGATTTTAGTCTCTGATGCATGATTTTTTATTATTAATTGTTTTGGCTTTTAACTAGCTGTCAGTAACTGCGAGTACTCTCAAATCGTACTTTCTTGTTTATTTGACCTGTTGATACTAATTGTATTGCTTTTTTGTTATTTAATGTTATTCAGGGTTATATCTGGTCTATATACCAGCTTTTATAAGTGTTTGGTATTACTATAAATTTTCACTTCGTACTATGAACATCAAAATTATTTATTTTGTAAAAATATTTCCATTCTCTATTGGAACTGTACACGTATACCTAACAACAAAATTATTTTCAATTACCTGTGTTTAAAATTATTGCAAATGGCTGATATTTTTGTTCGAGCATATTGTTTTCTTTAATTGTTTAACTTTTCATACCGATATAACATGTTACTTTTATTATTCTTCCCTTAGTTTATTTATTTTGTATTAACATTGTATCATAGGTCAAATTTATTTGTTCAGTGTATGTTCAATGGTGTTAATATGTCCTTTGATTGAGTTAAGCTATTTCAGTTGATATTTTATAGTGTGTCTTTCTATCTTGTGATGTTACACTATTGTTTCAGAAAAAGGGTGAAGGTTTGGTACCATTAAAACGTTTAAACCCGCTGCATTTGTTTGCACATGTCCTAAGTCAGGAATCTGATGTTCAGTAGTTGTCGTTTGTTGATATGGTTCATAAGTGTTTCTCGTTTCTCGTTTTTTATATAGATTAGACCGTTGGTTTTCCCGTTTGAATGGTTTTACACTAG